TGAACCTATTCCTGGCGTGTCACCTTCCCTCCCCATCCAGAGTGGCTGTTTAGTTGAGAGTATGCTGAGATGTGAAAGGTTTGGAGAGGCCATCACGAATGTTCTGATTCCCCAGCCAGGGACTGCCATGAGCACTCCTTGCAAAGAGGGAGCAGACCAGTGTGTAAATCTTGTGCTTACCCTTTGGTAAGCTTGCTCTTTTCTTTAGCACTCTGTAAATATGTTGAGAGTTGCCATCTTACCTGCTTTTTCTTTTAATTTGGGTGTATGTGATGCAAAGCGTGAGATAAGGGGAAAGAGCTGAGACCTGTGCACTCCCAGGGGTCCCTAATACACAAACAGATAGGCAAAAATTCAGGGACCAGAATGGACACCTTTTAATCTTCTGATGTAAGAGACTAAAAGCCGATGCTGTGCCATGTTTGTGCTACAAAACAATGCTTTGTCCATTGTGAAAACCCAGCACAGTGCAGCCCTGTGGGCAACACAAATGGTATGGCAACAGAGGAGAAACAGGTGACTTGAGTTAGTCTAGATGTCTCCAAACCTTTCCTTGCTGTAAGGCTCCAGCCTAAAGAAAAGCTTGTCTAAAGCTCGGTCTAAAACCTAAGAGAAAATCCCAGTATTCCTCTCCTAAATTAATGAACAGAATCAATTCCTGGTAAATCAGTCATTGTTTTTGAACAGAGGTTATTTAATACTGTTTTGTAAATAAACCCTTCGGCCTCTTCATCCTTTTGCTCTCCCACTCAACTCCCAAAGTAAAAACCCTCCAGCTGTTGGTAAAGGGAAGCAATGGGGAAGAGGGAAACTTGTCCTTTTTTTTTTTTTTTTTTTGAGAGAAAAGATTTCATTTTCAAGTTTGTCCTAGTTACAGGGGCTGGGACCAGTTTATTACTATGTGGGTATGATCAAAACTGTGTATGTCTACACCCTCTATGTCATTTCTGATGGACTGTTAATAATGGATCATTTCCAGCAGCTGCCCAGGGCACACCTAAGGACTCAGCTGTGATAACTCCCCTCTGGAGAGGAATTAGCACCTTCACACCCAGCCTGAGGGGTCATCTCTGCTAATGGGCCACACTGGACTGGCATAATAGGCAGCTGCAACACCTGGACCATCAAAGACTCCAAAAATATCCCATGAATCACAGAGTTAAATCACCCATTGTAAAAGTCCTTGCCCTGGGAGAGGAACTGGACATTCCCACCTGAACCTGAGCATATATAATATCAGGGTTTTGGGACTTCTGGTGCAACTTGTTGGATCAAGAGGAGAACCAGAACTCCAACAGGACTGCCACTGCCATCCTCCACAGGACTACAATCATTACCTCAGCAGAACTGCCACCATCATCTGGACCAACAGGTTTTCTTTCCTTTTAACTTTGCTCCCATGGGAGCCACATGGTGCTCACCACAGGGGCCAACGAACACTGTTCTGTTCTTGTCCCAGGGAGCTGGGTTATATCTGGTTTTGTGGGTTAAAACCAGGTTTTCTCTGTAGTGTTGCATCTAGAGTAATTTATTTTTAGTAAATTATAACTCTGACTTAAAATCTCACCAGCGTTGGGTTCATTTCTCCCGCTGGTTTACTTTTAAACCAGGACAAAGTAAAATGAGATACTGACATGAGTTCAAGAAGTTATAAATTGGTCACCGATGAAATCTGACTACAAACTGGAAGGCTTCTTCAGGTTTGAGGAATTAACTCCTGGAGCATCTGTCTAAACAGTGTAGCAGAGGCAAGGGTGGTTTAAGATGATGCTCAGCAAGATTAGGGAAAGGGGTGATGACAGGCTAGATGAATGTGTAGGAAGGGAAAGTTATGATAGTAGTCAATATTTAGCTCTTGCTTAGGGGAGGAAGTGTTTGCTGCTCAAGTCAGCAGCAACTTCAGTACCTTCTTGGCTCACCCCTGCCTTGCTTTGAAGGTATGCAGGCTGTTTTCCAGGATCACAGTTCCTGCTCTTTCCTAGTATCACACTATCAGCATTGCTTCTCCTCTGTCATGCTGTTGGTGCTGGTGTTTGCTGCTGGGGTCTGGGCAAGGTGTTTGGGTTTTTCTGTAGTGACTGAGCAGCTCTCCTCTGAACTCATCCACACCTACAGGCTCCAGGGGGTCTCTGGCTGTATGAACTCACAGTGAAGTTGGTGGGAAGGATACTGGTTTAGGATTTCAGAAAGGCCTTTTTGCATTGCACCTAACGTTCTGTGAAGGGATGCACCTAAAGTTCTTTTTTCCCCTCCTTTTTCCCCACTCTTTATTACAGAGTTTACAATAAAAGATGAACAAATGAAATTCCAATCTGCTTCCCATACTCTTTCCCTCCCTTCCCAAAGGTGCAACTTGGGACAGATTTCATTCTCAGCTAGTGATGCTGGCATTGCTACTGTGATTGCTCAGTCTCTCACCTCACTAAACTACTTTTACCTTGTTTTGGTTTTGTTTTTTTTTACTGTGGGACTTGGTGCCAAAATCCTTTAGCATCGTGGGAAGGTGTAATCAACTCTTAAAAAATTACTTCTCACTGCTTCCACAGAAGTGGAGGTTATTCTGTAAGCTACGTATTTTAGCAGGCTGGAGCAATGACCTGAGGTTGTATCATCTAAATATGTTACAATCTATCCCAAAGAAGCCCTTGCCTGTTAATAAGTAGTTTTGGAAAATGATTGCTAAGTATTTTTCTGTATGTGTGTATGTTCTGGGCTCAGTGTAAATCATGCTAATGCTTGTATTGTCACAAATACGATTTACAGTTGAGGGTCTCTGGAGTGATGGCTGAAGGTAGGGAGTCAAACCTTTTCCATAACTTTATTAATGTGGAATGAAAATGCATAGTAAATGGGTGTTGTTTGGTGAGACCACCCAGATAGGTATTGGATTTAGGGGTGTCATAGGTGAAAAAACAGCTTGAATGCCAACAGGTGGTGGACAATTGTTTGTGCACACACATGAACGTCCAGAACTGAACTTTCAACCTCTGAAGAAGAAGCAGCTGCTTGTGAACTACAACTGGTAGGTGGACGTGGACCAGCTGTAAATTTTACTACCACCTGGACTAAACCAAAATGGCATATTCCAAATTCTCCTGTGAACAAGGGGTCATGAGATAAGAACAATGCTGAGAAGCCTGCTCGTGCCTCATCCTTCTGCATGCTCACAGTTTGGACTCAGAGAAGCTGGTCCTGGCAACTCCAGGAGGAGGGGCTGGTTCCAAAAAGTAGGGCTTAAAATCCTAACAAACCCAAACCAAATGAAGTTAAGAACTGGCTGGAGGAAAGATCCTGAGGGCTCTGTAAGGAGCTGAATGCCAGGAGATGGCGAGGGGCCCTTGGGCAATCCCACCATTGGCTCATTAATAAGCAGCTCTACTTCCCAGAGGAAGTCAAAACCAAACCTTTTTACACATACAGATGAGAGATGGAATAATTTTAATGCTGGTGGAAAAAAATAAGAGCTTTTCAACTTTTTTTAAAACTTTTATTTATTTTTTTAGAAAATGAATAAACTCTGCATGGTAGAGTGTACGGTATATAATTTCAAAACAGAACAAGTGATATGGAATGGATTATTTTCCCAAACTATTTAAGGTTGAACCTAAAATCATTTGTAAATCAACACTCGTTGCCATGTAAGACAGAGGAAAACAATCAACACATTTTTTGTTTGGTACAGATTTTCTCTACCACTTCAGCCTGAATTTTCCCAGGGTTGGGGAGAAAAGGGGGGCAAATCCTGCCCATTGTCCTAATCATAATTGTACTGACCAAGCTTTGTGCTCTGAGATCTAGCATCATATGGCTTTACATACGTTCCTAAGTGAACAGTGCAACATCGTCACCATCTTAAGTGTTTTTTCCACATTCAAACTGTAACTGAACATCACTCTGAAACATTTTTCCACCCCCAAAATGACAATAACAATAATGAAAAGCAGAAAGTCTCCAGCAATCAGATTTCATCCCAGAAATCTGTGTAAACGGTAGATCAGGGTCGGGTAGCAGCACAGAAGACAAAAGATGTGACAGCATGATTCAATAGCGTCTCTAAAGACTACTGCAAGACTGTCATTCTTTAGTCTGCATCTTGCAATCACAATTTTCTTTTTCCCTGCAATGCTATAAAGCAATATAAGAAAAAAAAAATGAGACTCAAAAGCAAAAGGTAGAAGCCTTTACAGAAAGGTAAAGCTTCTGCTTACCTTTGAGTAGTCGCTATTAGAAACAGATCTCTGCAATCAGAAACAAATCTTGAACATATATACACACAGCTTCAGTGGAAGGGGATACAGCCAAGGATGGAAACCCTCCTAGCAGACCCACAGACTCTTTTGGCTTGTAGGTCAACACTACACTGCCTTTTTGGTTTGAATAAATTGGCAGGGCAGTTATAGGCTCCAGGCGTGCTCCAGGGTCTTGGCTCCTCTGTTCCTTGGCTGTGTGGGGGCCAGGAGAAGGAGGAGGAGGGAGTAAGAACGCTGTCAAGGGTCCCCCTCCCCTCACTTTGCAGCTGGCCGAGTGATGTGCAGGTTGCAGTGACATGGGGCGTTACACTGGGAAGGTTTAAGTGCACACTTTTCTCTTTACCCCCTCCTCCCCAATCCTGTTGGAATGTATCTATATCAGTAATCAGATAAGTACTAATAACTGTAAGCTAGCGTAGTGTAGTCACCCTCCCCCTTAAAATGGGGAGAAAGCAACAGCATCAAACAAATTCCCATTTGTCCTGACATGTGCAACCTTTCCAGATCCTGTAGAGCAATCATATGCAGGCTTTTTTTTATACTAGGATTTAAAGGAGTCAAAGTTGGCAAAGAAACTGGATGTGTCCTGGCCTAACTGAAGGAAATAGTAAAACTGATTTAAGTAAGAGCAAAAGAAAGTAAGCATTAGTGTGTTTACATCCTCTGGTATGTCCCACTTCTCTACGCTCTGCTCACAAGCCCTTTCTGTACTCTGAGCAAGCACTCCCAAACTTAGAGGGGTAAGGCTTCAGCTAAAATCTCACAGTTGAGATCATTATTTTATATAATTACCACAAATGTAATAATTTGATTTTAGCGGATCCATGTGGGCCATGTTGAGGGCAAGGCTTGTTAAGTGAACCAGCACAGGAGAAGATTGGATAGGGGTGTAATCCCACATGATAACAGCAATTGAACAATGTCCATAAGCATGGCACTAGCTTAGTGTGTATGTAGCATCAGAGCTTGGATGAAGCCCTCAAGTGTCCAGTCAGAACCAGGGAAGCTGCAAGAAGTTTTACTGTAAAACTCCAGTACTGAAATGTCTAAAGGAACTGCATCTCTAACTTCAATGGGCACAGATTTTAGGTTTTGCACAGTCAATTCTAATTAAAAACCCAAAACTTTAACAGCTGATGCCCCTGCTGTTGGAGCCTTAAGACACCCGTTATACTGCTGAGCCCTACTCTTTTTTTTTTTTTTTTTTTAATAAAACACTGTTTTAAGATAGAGCACAATAAATGTGCTTATTACGCACTCTAACATAGAGCACAGAAATACAACACTACAGAGTGCAAGTCTAACCATCTCCACAGTGGGAAAAGTGCGAAGGTTAAAAATATGCATGTGGCTTAACACAAGATATTTTTAAAAAACATGACATGGAAATCTTATACTAATGCTTCCATCTTCACCACAAACATGATTGAAAACTTAAGGTCAGTTGCTGATCCTTCTCTCGCAGTAGTAGCAGTGTAATCCTTTCGAAGGTACAATATTGGAAAGATCAGAGAATTAAAAAAACCAAGTGTCCAAAAATGATCCCATTTACCACTTTTCCAGTAGTTATGTTTTTCAAGAAATAAATGCGTAAGGTCACCTTGATCTTCACCATCAGTAACTGATACACTTGGAAACAGCTAAGCCAACCACCTGGACTGAGATCAGTTTGGTGTCGCACACGCGCACACACACAGATACACACACAAACACCCCACAGGAAAAAGTGCACTTTCAATTGCTGATACAAAAATAGATTGGCACATTCTTTTTGACACAGTGAAGATATCTTCTAAAAGCTTTTTCACTTCAAGAAGTCCTCTTGGAATTTGCAGCAGGTCTGTAGAAAAAGCACTATGAGAATGCACTCAGTGGGCTTTCCAGGGTTTGTGTGATGCAGAGAGGGGTGGTCATGGAGGCTGCCCTTCTAAATTTTGCCTACTTTTATAGCTGTAGTCCCTACAGGTAGGGTCAGTCACCACTCAGTTTCAGCATGTGAACCATTTACCAACAGCTCAGTCTTCACTTGCTTTCAGAAAGCAATGATACTTAAATTTGTCAAAGCTGAGAGTCTTACGTTGATGCAGTGTTTCCTATATGTTGCCAGAAAAACTGTTTCGGGAGAGAGAGAGAGAGAGTGAAGTGTAAGGAGTCTGATTTTGCATTTCCAGTAGTAACTGAGGCTCAGGAGAGCCAAGCTGGAACAGTCGGTAGCCCCTTCCCGCAGGGCAGCCAGTGCTAGGAGTTCTGCACCAAGCGTCTGTAGTGAGGCATCACTTCGTGCTCAGGAAGGTGGAGAGCAAACTCCAAGGCCACCAGCACCGGGAACTCGAAGGCGATCAGCTCTCGCCTGTTCAGCCGGAACTTCTCTTCCAGTTTCTGCAACCACAGCCGAGGGGAAAAAATAAATTAAACAAAATGAATGAGGATTTACCTTTTCAAAAGTGCTTTTCAAAACATGCATGCTGCTGTCAGTAAACTTCTCTCCTGATCAGACTTGCACGGCTCTAGGTTTACCAACTCAGAGCAGGGTGAACTGGATGTACGGATTCCTTACTGTGAAGGTGAACTCACAAAGCTCAGCCAGCCATGCTATTTCTGACACGTTTGCCATTTCACTCATTCCACTGCCAGAAGATACATCTTCTAATGATCACAGCGATTACCACTGCAGGAACAAACTCCTGGCTTCATGCAAACATTGAAATCACTTGTGTAATGGAAGGCATGCATCTTGTAACACAGATCTCCTGCGTGGCTTGAAATCACTGATTTCCTTTTCAACATTAGACTGTGCTACAACGCCCTATTGGGGATATTATTTTTTGCCACAGTTAAAAATGTTTGATTTTAATACCTCAGAGGCAGGAGGTGTCATCTGCAACAACTCTAAGAACAGTGAGTAATAGAAACTACTATCCTCAAGGGGGATGAGATGGGTTTTATAGTTGGTTTTCTGCCGTAATGTACCAAACCTCCCATCTGCCCTGCTGTATTTGTTGGATGTGGATGCTACAAGTAGCAACCAGCTATTCAGAGATATTTCCACCCCCATCCTCTTCTTACGATCTCTTTGGCTTGCTACTTCTCTGTCCGCTGAGTCTACTCAAAAGCTCAGTGTGTATTATGGATGGACCAATGTTTCAGGATAGCAAGAGAGGCCAGATTCTTCCAACTCCCACTGGCTTGGGTTTTTTTGGTGGTTATTCAGAGGACTTTCTAACAAGCTGATTGTTGACCCAGCTCTGTGGCTGTGGGAGAATGGCATGAGTCCAGTCCTGTCCCCCATCCAAGTTCTCATGTCTAACTTTCTGTAGCACTAAATCAGATCAGTATCTCAGTGCTTGCAAAGGATTATGGAATAACACTCCCCCATGTTAACTCTTTCACACAGAGTAGGTGGAAGACCTACTCTACAAAAGAAACCACCTTACTGCACAAAAAGCAGCTGGAATGAGGTGCGCCAATGGGAACACCTCTTTAGGTTTTTTTGCCCAAAAGCTGAACGTGATGAAAGAAATACAGATGTCTTAAACTCCATCTGATATTAGTATCTGCATTTACCTTTCAAAGGAGAGTCCTTATTGACACTCTTGAAAACATAATTAAAAGCAAAATGAATTTCCTGAGGGTTCACTGTTGACTTCTACTGACAGAACAGTGGTCAGAGACTTCTCAGACCTCACAGAATCTGACACCAGGGCCTTCTATCACATCAAACAAGCTTCCCGTGCCTCTTCAGCGACAGTGATCACTACTACTGACACAAAACCATGTAACAACAAAATACATTTAGCTGGCTGTACATCTGAAAACCTAAAGGAGAGCAAGTCCACTGGCAAGCAGGTTTGCATAGACCAGACTTTGCACTTCATGTAGAAGGAACACTGGAAACCTACGGATACGTACATCTATAAGATGCTTGACTTCGTGTTTTCTGAGGTCACTGCCAATTTTGGCTGCTAAAAGAACACAAGCTCCAGCACAAAGCTTTCTATTCTGTTTGTTCAGCTTCCCCTTGAGAGCGAGCTTCTCAAAGTAGACAAAGGCCATGGCCACTGTGGGCTCTTCAAAACCACATTCTTCTTGAGCAAGCTTGCGCATTTCTCTCTTCAAGCTGAGTAAAGAGACCAGACAAGTATGATGTGAACTGAGTTTTAAAGCGTTTTTCATTTCACCCAAATAGTCACCTTTTCAGAGATTCCTGCTTAGTCAAACGGAGGGGAAAATAATAGTAATTTACTGGGCAGATATCTTTATGCTCTGTTTTGTGGGCACATTTCACGGCACAAATTTGATCTCACCATCTCACCCTTCCCCTCCACTAGAAAAGCAGCTGAAAAGCTTTGACATTTTTAGTAATAATATTTCATCAGAGGTCTTACGCCGCATACAATTTTGTTTAGTAACAACAGCTTTATTACCGGTGCTCTATATGCAACTTTGCTGCTGGTTATGGTTGGTCAAATACAAACTGACAGTCTTTCCATGTACTGCAGCATAGTCTGGTTACAGAGCATCATGGCTCAGTTTCCTTCTGGCCACTAGGCTCGAAGGAAATTATCATTACTTCAGTGGAGCAGTATGCCTACCCTGCTACACTGGAAACAGAAGAAATATTACAACTTTGCTGTGAAGCTGTCCACTTGTTTTGCTTCTGACGATGCTTTCTCGACAAGGCACAAAAGTCAGCATTTCTCTTTCCTCAGTTTCTTTTAAGCTAAGTGCCATAAGCTTAGAGACTCTGTTGTATTATTTTTCTGGGTATTTTAGAATAGTGCACGCCCAGCTTGCATCCTCATCCCTTAGATTTCGAATTTGACACCTGACTGGTGCATGTTTGTACATCCCTCTATCCTGTTTACTCAGCCCACTAACCAAAGCAATTATCTGACCTACTCTGCACCTCTGCTGGTCACTGCTCCTGGAAGATCTATCAATGCTGTGCTTCCCCTCACGTACAGCAGGAATTGCACTGAAATGTGAGACAGCTGCATCACGTTGCAGCCTTATCGAGCTTTGCAACGTACCTTCTTATTTTACTGAGGGTTAGCTTGATGTGAGGGAACTTCTCCTTAAAGGTCTCATTCATGTCCTTCTTGAGATCTGATGGCTTCACGTAGTCTATGACTGTGGTCTGTAACACACGTCAAAAGAGAATTACTCTTTTGGTTTGTAAAAAACAAGATCAATCAATTCCCAGAAGCAAGGAATACCAAACAAGTGCCACTCAGTCCCGATGCTTTCAGTAGATGGGAAAATTAAGTCTGAATTAAGGCAACAATTCGTGACTGCTCCATCGAAACAAGTGACCTTTTCAGCACAATTCTTGAACAACACACACCTTATTAGCATCCCTGAAGTATTACTAAGTGTGAGTTTAAGATAAATGTGGGTGGAGGAAACCTACCTGAAAAGCCTTGTAAAAACAAACAAAAAAATCATCACAATGACTGTTTTGATGACCAGATTTGGTGTGCATATCTCCATGAGGTTTTGAGACATACTGAATTTCTCTCAAATTGATTCTCCAAAGAAACTGCTGGTACAAATTCTTGACTACCATAGTATACATTTGTGATAAAATAGGTAATTACCCCCATGGCAGGTCACTTCATTGGAGTGCAAGACAGCAATGCTGCTCTAAGTTAGACAGTAAGTGGGCAAAAGAGTTAGGACAACATTCAAAGTGTACAACCTATTTCCTTTGAGCTTCGTATTCCTTTTTGTTACAACCTAAGGAATCTCCCTGTGTTGCAGAGGGTTCTCCAGACCAATACTGCAATGCCAGTGCCCTCATCTATGCCCAACACTTCTATTGTTCCCTCAGTCTTTTCTTCAGGTACCATTTTGCCCAAATCCTCTGTCACAATTCATCTGGTCAGAATCTACCAGCATGAACAACAAACCAACCTTTATTTTGGGAATGTGTCAAATATATTCTGGGCTTTGGCAGTTCTGCCCCTTGGACAGAAGCAGAGAAGAACCCTAGGTTGGGCAGCTGGGGGACAGCATCCAGCTCCCTGCCAGTTTTAAGCATGGGCAGTGAGAGAGCAACAGTGTGCAGTGCTGTGAATTCTTCTGCTTGTAAAATAATATTTTCCTTCTAATTTCTGGTTTTGCTTAACTTGTATTATGGCAAAGGGCTGCTAACACCAAACAACAAGAGGTGGAAAAAGGCATGCAAAACTCTGGAGCTTTGCTGTAATATATCCTCATGGGAATCTAAATCAGCCAAACAGACTGACTGTATATATATTTTACTCATAGTAAATGGAAGGGCTGGAGGAAGAGAGAATGCAACGGCTCTAGACAGAAAGCAGACAATTTCTTTTATCCAATCATGTTGTTCTCTGGTTCCAAAATAAGCATGAAGGGGAGTAAAACATACTTCACCTTTCCTGTGCTTTATTTAGGAGCTATGGTACTGAAATAATGCAGAATTATAGGAATTTAAAAGAAAGTAGAGCATGTGTTTCCCCTGAATAGCACACAGTAGTATCTGAGGTAAACACACTGTAACAGGAAAAAACTATGGGTGGAATGGGGTGTTGTTATGGTCATATACACATTTTAAAATGTGGGTCATTCTGCTATCTGATTTGCAGTGAGAGAAGCATCATCTGTCAGATAAATTGCTCCCCACTAGGTCCTGGCAGATAATTCTCCTGGGCACATCACACACAACAGTTGCCTAAAGTTGTTTTAAGTATAAATGCTTGTGTGAGCCTCCTCCAACACACTGAGATGTTAAGTACTAGTCCAAGTTTTGCTCAGTAAAGGGAATAATTCATTAAGGAAATTCAGTGCTATTAAGCAAAGCTGCCCCTTATAAGAAATCATCAATTAGGAGAAAGCCACATGTTCAGCCACCCCTGCTGCCCTGCGTATGTATGGATGAACTTGAGCACAGGTCTGGACAGACAATGAAGTGCCACTGAAGTTAGAAATTCATTATGCTGCCTTGATGCTCAGGCAGGCAATTTGCTACCACACCTGAATAAAACAAAGAGAGGAAAAGACAGGGAGGAGAAACTTTGTCCTTCTTTGGATTGGTAGGAAAGTCTTCAATGGAAAATGTGAGCCTGCCCGGTTTTTAACCACCTGAGGTTGGAAGGATGTATGCATGTACCGTGGCCCTTCACTGTAGAGAGCTTCTCATGTGCTTCATCTCACTGGCAGGGCTCAGCCCTCTGAAGAAGAAGAAGAATTAAGATCTTACCAACTTCTCCTTTCCTTTCTTTCCCTGGAACATCACTGCTTGCCTGCCTACTCCTTGGCATTGTTGCCAAAGGATCATCAGCAAGCTGGGTGCTTCTGATGTACAGATATGCTGGGAATTCCATGTGTTTAAGAGGTAGTGCTACAAGAGGGCACTAAAACAAGCTACATATGATTTTCAGACCAGTGCCTTCTGCTACTCGAGGTACAGAAACATCAGTCCATGCTGCTCTTGCTTACAGAGTCAAGAGACACTAAACACATACAGGTTACACACTATTAAATCCAAAGATGATTTTAGTTACTACCAGACAACTTTTGGTTGTCTTGGGCAATCCTAGAAACAGTGAGCTCGGTGTTACTGTGCAAAGCTACCTGACACCTTATTTCATGCTTCACTACAAACCTAAACGCCCGTTGTTTGTTCTTCATTACCACAGAGTTTTATCTTAATTATCTCCCTCAAAGTGATCATGTGTTTTTCTGGAAGACTTGTCTTTGGCTCTCTCCAGGTTATCTTCTTCTCTTTCCCAGAAGGAGAATGCAATCACGTAAGAACCTTACCTGCATGACAGAAACCACTTCTCAGCAGAAAGGGCACGGCAGTGGAGGGAGGGCCTGTCCATCTTCCAGGCTCAGCTGACAGGCTTGCACAGAAGTTATGCCAGACAGCAAGTTTCAGCTGCTTTCACTTCTAACAAGTAGGTGCCAGGGTTACCCCAGCTCTGGAGGCAATTGTGCAGAAGGGGAGTGAGCCTCATAGCAGCAGCAGCAGCCCCCTGGGGTGCAACTTTCTCTGTGGCTGCTCTGCAGGCACTGACTTGTTTTACCTGGGACTCCTCTAGACTGTGGGACATTTGCCAGAATTCAGCTAAATTCTCTTTAGAAGGAGAAAAGCTCTTTTAAAAATTTTCATTTAAAGCAAAGCACTCAGAGGCTGAGACTAAGCAGACAGCTTAAAATTGAAAATGGTGAAGAGGTACAGCTATTTTTAAACACAGAGATTTGCCAGTTTTGTCCTGTTGATAAGAATCTCCCCCCTCCAACTCTGAATACTGCTGCTTCCTGCAAGACAACAGTCTCTATGATATAAATCACAATAATGAAATCCAGATGAAAGCTGGTGTGTGCTGGTTTTGATTCATGTAACAGGATAACGGCAACATGTTTGAACACACTGGCTCTAAGGCGACTGTCTCGTCTTGTCAGTGCCATGCTGGAGAACTCAGCTAACTGCCCTTATTCTCAAGAAAAGGATTTGTGTAAGTTCTTTTTTTTTCGCCCTTCTTTCTTTTTTTTCCTTCATAGCCGCTGCAGAAGCTGACTTTGAGCAATAATGGGAATGCTGCTTGCCCAGCTGGTGCCTATAAAAATGCATCTTGTACATGTGGGACCCTGCCCACCAGAGAAGCAGGCAGCAAAAAACCCTAAAGAAGATCATTGAGAGGTAATTTAAAAGCAATGCTGAATCAGCATCTGTTGAGTGAGCAAATCAGTTACCTCCTGAAACTGTTTCTGGCCAGGCACCTGAGCACCTCTCTTGCTATTCATGCCCTGGCTGGGGTACAGCACTCACAAGTCTACAGAGAAATCCCAGTCCCCAGCCGGGCTCCAACCCAGGGCACCTCATGCATCCCGCAAATGCCTTGGCATTGAGCAGCAGCCCCTTGCCCATGAAGAACAGAGCAGAGGAAACCTCTGGGATGGCCCAGTGACTCACAAAAACCAGCTGGGATCTGACAAGGGAGGGCTTAGACCCAATGTTATCCTTCTCTGCCTGCTCTCTGCTCAGCATTTACACTTCTGTTCTCTGTTTGAGGCCATGCTGTTCCACCTGAGTTGCCTGCCCAAACAGAGCTCCCAGGTGGAGGAGAATACGACTGCCTGTCCAGGACAAGTCTGGTATTGCCTGTTGGAGCACTGTTCAACACTGATGCTCCAAATTTTGTGAAGAGTTTGCAAATATTTCCCTAAAAGGAGCACAGCCTTTTTTTTTTTTTTTTTTTTTTAATCCAAACATACTTTCTTATACATAATATTATTCCCTGCCAGTCAAGCACTCTGTACTCTCAGAGCTGTTAGACACAAGAGCAACGCACTGGGAACTACCAAACTGTCTCTCTCATACTCTAATCTCCAATGTTTCCAACTTCTGTCATCCATAACCGTCTGTCTTGTTTCTCACAGCTTATTTGCACGAAACACACTTCAGTTCAGTATTCAGCAATACTCCTTCATGGGCTCTCTTCACATTCTCTGTATACAAATCTGTGCATGTGTATTTTAGTTTGGCGATGGAAATTGCACAAGACTAATGAAAACCTTGATATATGGTAGCTGACAGATGCCTGGACAGCATGATGAACGCTTCAGCCCAAGTCTGTACTCTGCACACTTTTTGCAGGGCTGGCAGTTTTGAACTTGGAGCTTAGCTTGTGTGTTATTCACAAGCATTTTCAAGCAGCTGCTTTCTCATAGGAAAGCTGTATATATAGTTTCATAAATATGAGAGGAGAGAGGATGCCTGAAATGGCTGGAAAGACTGGCAGGATGAAATATTGTTGAAAATAAATCCTACTTTGGCATACAACCAATAAAAGATGATCTAGCCTTGGATGCCTCTACCTCCTGCTTAAGAGGGATAAAACCAGAACAAAATAGGTGAATAAAATGAAAGATATATGATAGGCTCTCTTCAGCTGTCAGTACTGTGTGCCCCTGACAAATTTACTTCACAGAGAGCAGACAGAAGACTGATACCTGAAACAGACTTTTGGTAGGTCAATGGTAACTTCTCAGCCAAACAAGAAGTGAAAAGAAGTCAATGACTATGCACTGCCTGGCTACCTTAATGCACACCATAGATGACCAGCTATGTACCTATTAACTGTCAGTAACCTAATTCATATACTTACTGCTGAAGATGCATATATATGGAAAATCCTGATAGAGCAGAGGCTTAAAACTGTGATAAAAAATGGGACAGACTTCTTATTATAATTAAAAGATAGACTAAAATAAGATATTTCTGTTGTTAGAAAGTTACTAGCATTCAAGGATCTTAAACTGGAAGATTTCAAATTTCACAAAGCAAATAATCTCAAAACTGCCTCTCTGAAATTAAGTACATGAAAGGATGCCAGTTTATTTTATATTGTTAACATGCTGGAATTATTCTCAATTAATACAGTGTGTCATTGCTACAAAACAGTTGTTTATTGGAGTCTCAGACAAATGTAGCATCAAATGCACAGAGCACAGGGTTTAAACATGATTATCTACCACCACTGCAATACTCTGCTCCCTGAGACTTTTGGGTACAAGGTCAGCAGCTGATAAAAAAATCAGTCTGGAGATACTTAATTTACAGCTACGGAAGTGGCTCGAAGAATAGGGTGACAGCACTGAAGGACACTGGCTGTAGTGGAGTCCTCCTGACCTTGATGCTCCCTTGTGAAAGACAGAACGGGGGAGTGAGAGACCAAATGCATTATGTCATCATGCAGGGCTTTTGTTAGACCAAATGGCCAGGGCAGCAAGCAGTTCTAATTTTAAAGTCACACTGGAGGACTAATATTTAATAACACAGCCTGGCTGTGCTTGATGCTAGTGCAGTACCTAGCAAATGAAGGCTGACAGACAGCACTGCAGGCTTCTGTGACGTGCTTTTTTTATTACTGGTGTAGAGATGTCAATTTATTTTTATATAATTAAAACAGTACACTGAAATTGTAGTTCAGTATCCAACCCTAGTTCCACATCTATCCCTTGGGCACAGATGGATGGATATTTCAGGGACGGTATTACAGAAGGATCACTCAGAGTCAAGGTGCAACTCCTCTGGGCTTTTCTTTTGCTGCAAGTTTTGGCAGCGTGCGGTGGGCAGTTGACATGCTCCTGTGTTTCTGTGTTACCAACAAAAGCAGGACTTCAGAGTCAGCCTCATGGCTGTTGACAGTGAGTTTTCTACTTCTGCACAGAAGGAGTTTCTGCTGGAAAGAATGCAGGGAGACCAGGGAGACATTGATGAGTCTGTACGTTTCCTAGTCTACATGATATTCTAGGAAAGAAATTACTGCTCTGTCTGGTAGATAAAGTTCCTGTTCTAGAGAGATTTAAGGATCTGAAAGAATTCCTTTTTAGCAGTATCAGCCAGGAAGACATCTGTTAACCGTGACATGATGCTTCCCTCTTCCCCCCCACCCCTCAGAATGAAATTTTTCTACCTCTTACTGTTTATATTGTGGCAGACATTGCAGACTCTCCTACAAAGAAAACACAAAATTAAATAATATCTCCAGTGTAGACCAGAGTTTAAATACAACTAATACAATTAATAGAAGCTGTAGAGTTTGTATTAGGGAAGTAATGAAGAATACTTTTAGAATTGTCCCGAGAGGCAATTTGTGGGTATTACTTTTAGAAATACAACAGGGAAGTGTATACATTTTCAAGCCAGGAACTTCACTACAAAAAAAAAAAAAAAAAAAAGACCAAACTGTAAGCACTTCTTCCCCACAGCTATCTTCAAGGAGGAAGCACAGCTCCTCCTTGAAAACAGCTGAGGACTTGCAGTTAAAGCTCCTCTGCAAGTCAGGACTAATTCAACTCTGTAAAATTAAAAGACTCTAAAGCCAATATCAGTGATGATAAACTCGGGCTCCACAAATATAGAGCACATTGAGTGCCAGTTGCACAAATTTCTGAGTAAAATTCATGCTGGACCACACATTTTGTCCCTCTTACGCCTCGGGATAAAGTCTGCAGTGTTTACTGATGCAGCATTCACACAGACCTCAACAGAGCTTTCCCAGAGGAGAAATCCTGGCCTGCAAAGCATGAGCCAGGCTCAGGGGAGTAATATCAGTGCATGTGGTTCTATCCCGCAGTCAGTGCCGCAGCCCAGCATCCACTCCTCTTGCACACCTTCCCCCCATTAATTACTCTGACATCCATAAGGAGGGGTGAGGGGAGTATCTACAAGCTTGCAGCTGTCAAGCATTAATGCTAAATCCTGGCCAAGTAACGAAACTTTAATTACAAGCTGCAGCTCTCCACACACAACAAAATGTTGTGTGCTGACATCAGAGCCGCCCTCAGCTGCTCTGGCGCTTGAAAGAGGCAGTAATTACAGCTGTGTTCTGCTTGGGACCAGAGGCTGCTCTCAGTCTCTGTTCAGCAGCTCTACAGCTCTGCGGTCATTTGGCTGAGGTCTGTCACTACCACAGTGGCTGCACATGGTCAGGAAAAAAACACGAGTTTCTCGGTGGCCCCAGACTGCAATTTGCTTTAATTGCAGCATACGCAGATTTTTATATTTGGGGAAGAAAATTACTTGAAATTGCTGTGAACACTGATGTGAACTGCAGGGGGAGGGAATGCCAGCTGAGTCAGGAAAGTCTAAAATGGATGTGAGTAAAGTCTCCTATGTAGCCAATATGGCCTTATATTCACCAGCTTTACGCACAAGTCCTCCTTGCCTGAGTTGAAAAATCCTATTTAACCTGCAAGCTCCCAGGACACACCTTTTCTCCCTTTTCTTGGCTGAAGGAAGCACCAGCTGCTCGTGAAATCTTTCAACTGAACACTGAAGAACAACCACCCACTTTTTAGCTTCTTGCAAAGCTGTGAAGTTCCTGTGTGGCATCACAGCTTTGCTGCTTTAACAACAGGCAGGCAGGCGATATCCTAGAACAAGAGAGCTCTTGGCACATTCCTGTGATTCCCACTAACAAAAGGAACATAGCACTTAATGCCTTTCAGCCCCTTTTTAGATTAGTGCCAGCCTTCAGAGAGGGAGATGGGAGTGCACAGACCCTCAGGTAGTGCTGAAGAAGTGATGTCTGGAAGGCAAATTTGGGCAACCCCCCTCCCCAGAATGTCAAATAAGACAGGTTTTTGGAACAGCAGTAATTAACACCTAGAGAAAAAGAAAAAGCAGGGAGTTCTCTGTCAATGCAGATATATTCTAGACAAACAATTGCCCTTGAAGTCCATTTTTCACCTTTAAAGTATTTAACCATACCTCTGTCACAATGAAAATTCCCTGTCAGCTCCATTTTGCAATAAAAGTGCAAATACAGACCTCAAAATGCTATAGTCAACCAGTAAATGGAGAAGAAGAGTATTGAACAGCCACTCCTGGGTGGAAACCTCCCCTGTAGTATGTTATCATGGCTGCCCTATTTTGACTCACCCAACCATGTCCATCACAACACCAAACTGAAAAGGGATCAAAGACCCCAGGTGATCCTACAAGACTCATGCTGCCTGGTGCACATTAGCAGCTTGAGGAAGGTCAGAAACAGAACCATGACTGCTAGAGCTATGTTCATTTTGGATGTTGGCTAACAATGTCTTTCTCTTTGATGGAAGACAGTTCCCTGTCTATGACAGTAGCCACATCAAAACCTGACAAATATTTCCCCACACAGATGTAGCTGCCATAAAAGGTTGTCACTTAGTGGGTTGCCAGGCAAAAAATAACTTGTCAACTCGTAAAGGAAAACTGGCTGAAAGTAAGCAGAGGACATTCTGGACTTCCCATTTGGAAACCTAGGATAAACACAGCCTTAGAGCTCAATTAAGCCTCTGTGTACAGCAGGCAGAACGCTCCTGCTAGCAAAGATAATCTTCAATCTACATGAAACACTTAAAATTCATTTTGAAGAAAGAGCACCCAAGAGCAAAATTACCCCCATGGTGGAGGGCAGATGAGAACATACAAAGACTGTATCTTTACATACATTTGCAATTTCTTAACTTATATCTTCTGCTCCAAGTTAAGCAAGAACACGGACAATGCTTTAGACATCGGTGTTTCAAATCAAATTTGAAATCTCTAGACTTAACAGAAGTTAAGTTCAGAAGAGTTCACAGATATTGCACAATGCTGTCTTTGTTCAAGATTTTTGACAGAGATGAAAAATCACTCTAAATACTGAAAACTCTGAATATTTCTATACTAATGTGATTTGAAAAGATATAGAGGGCATACAGTTTTTGAATTACCTGGTAAATGTGAACTCAGGGCTTAGAGAACAGCAAAATTATATGAAGCTCCACAATGACTTTTATTCCTGGCAACAAGTTTTCATCTGTTTATGCAAATGTTTGGATTTGTTTCATTTATCATACCAAAATTAAAAAAAAAAAGAATCTTTTCTCTACTCCTACTACTACTCTGGATAATCCAGACAGATACATGCTCACATGTGTATGACTGCACTGCACCTTGCAGCAGTCCTGCCAAAATAGCACACCGAAGCCTACAAATGTGCTGCAACCAAGAAAAGGCTACAGAAGTCTCTCACCAGAGAAAACACTGAGTTAGAGCAGAGAGCAAGGAACAGTTACATGTCTGTTTTGTTAAGGGTTTGAATATAGTGAGAAATATACAGGCTCTACTCATAATTGCTGCAATTTAAAGGAAGGACTATCCCATGGTGAAATTAATACCTGGGAAAAAAAGCTGTTCGGAGGAGTGAATGATAAGCATCAAAACACAGCGCAGCTTCATGACTTCAGAGAAACCCCAATGGGCATCCTCCTATTTTGTAATAGAAGCCAATTCGAGGAAGTATAAATGTTCCTCTGAATGCGAGAGAATGAACGCATTGTTTGAACAAGCCTTTCATCTAAAGCGTTTATGAAATACAGTGGTAATAAAAGCGTTTACTTTTGTAATACCTCCACAAGTTTGTTTTAACATGTCCTGGTAACTGTCATTTAGAACAAAGCATTCCAAACAGCTGTTATTACTAGATTAAAAATAATAATAATAATAATAATAATAATCTTCTTAAAATACAGCCAAATGCAACCTCAACCTTCAAAGTTTTGTTACCAAAATTTGTTTGTGCTACACTAAATCACTTACCATATATGAAGGAAATATTAAAACCCGCTTATGTTTGCCACATGGCCATTGGGGATCATCTAAAAGATTTGGGTCATATTCAACAAAGTCTCCCAGGTCGCTACCTATAAAACAACAGTAAACATAAGAAATGAATTCATTACCTCAAGAAATCTCTAGACTTAACAGAAGTGGTAAACGAGTTCACAGATATTGCACAATGCTGTCTTTGTTCAAGATTTTTGACAGAGATGAAAAATCGCTCTAAATACTGAAAACTCTGTATATTTCTATACTAATGTGATTTGAAAAGATATAGAGGGCATACAGCTTTTGAATTACCTAGTAAATGTGAACCCAGGGCTTAGAGAACAGCAAAATTATATGAAGCTCCACAATGACTTTTATTCCTGGCAACAAGTTTTCATCTGTTTATGCAAATGTTTGGATTTGTTTCATTTATCATGCCAAAATATCTTAAGCATATAGTGCTTTGGCTTATGCTTTGTGTCCAGCTTTGTAAACACAGCCCATTCCAGCCTAATAAAGGTCACAAGTGGAATTTACACCTTCAGCTTATGACTACTGTGTTGCCACTGTAAATTTTCCATAGCGAAGGAGGGTAATGATAAGACTGATGCAGGAGGAACAAACGACAGCGATGACAGGAGGAGGCACACTGAGTGCCATCAGGGGCTGTCAATATGACCAACGTGCTTGTTTACTTTCCATCGCCCATAAGCAAGCTTTGCTAAACAAATGCGGGATGAACTGTGTTCCACACACCACATGAGACTGTATTTTGCTTAATTAAAGCTAAAAGGGGTACTGAGACACGTGCCCATCCTTCACAATAACTGCCTATCATCATTGTGCCCATGGATATTGAAACAAGCTTCTTGAGAAGTTACCTGCGTCAATGCTCCCCTGGGTGCTGTTAGCTCTTCCTAAAGAAAGGCTACGATGGCTTGCATTGCGAAACTGGGAGAAAGATGAGGTGGAATCTATCGTGTTTCTCCGTGTTGCCAGAGCATTGGTGGGAAATAGGAACTGCGTATAAGAAACCGTCTAAAAAAGAGTCAGAATGGACGGACAGTTACTTTCAGCCCAGCTCGACCGCAGTGGGATGCCTTCGGTGCACTCCAATTTGAAGCAGGAGAAGCCAAATTAATGGAGGATTTTCTGGATTTAGTAGTTAGGCACAGATGAATAAACACCAGTCACCTACATTTGCTTCAGTGCAGTCAGTTTATCCATGCAAAAAATGCTTTTGCAAAGGCATTAATTCTTCAGCAAAACAAACACACACACACACAAGCTCTAATACACTGGATTTACAAAATCCTACTCAAGGGTCAGATTTAAAAATATGTCAGTTTGGTCATGTTTTTTTCAGTGGGCCTTCCCTGTAGCAGATTTCAGCAGTGTCTTTACTGAACTAGCATCATCTATACAGGTTCCTCAGCACACAGCTGCCAGAGGCAGATCACCGAAAAGTTGCTAAACTGAAGCACTTTCTCTTCTATTTTTCTTCTTTAGGACTTCATCTGGTAGAGTCTTATCAGTGTAACAAGTGAGCTCCAGTTCACAGCAATGATTGTAGGAGATCATTTACTACCTCCAAACATGGAGTAAGTGTGAATGAGTAACTTGTGACAAAATTATTTTTAGAGTGCACTGATTCTCTGCTTGTACTCTTGGCCAGGAATAGGCTATGCCTTGCTTCTCGTCCGCTTATTTTCCAAAAATAACATTGTATTGAAGAAAAAAAATTAGTCTCAGATTCTAGACTGGTTTATGAGGAGGTCAGAACAGGTATCAAATAAAATATGTGAGCTTTCATTTATTTAAAAGCAGACAGATTGTCCTCAGGAATTTACAGCCTGTGGTCTGGCCTGACACCTGGTTAGGTGAGCACACCATGTGTAGCAGCATTGACCTAGGGCCTTTAAATGCATATATGACAGCAGACTGGGTAAACTGAACTGTAGAAAGTAAATCATGCTTTCAGGAAGAAATGTTTTCTTTTATGACTAAAACTGTCTCTCCACTACATATTTCTTTAAAATGGATCACTTCCCTAAAGATTCATAATTACTTATTCTATTCAAGTGAATGAACTCTTGGATTTTGAAAGACTCATCAGATTCATGCTACTACTTTCCTGCTCTTTGGAAAAACATATTGTTAAGCAAAATTTTATTAAATACAATTGAAAGCAAACAGAATTACAGCTTACAACTCTTACCAGAAATTATTTTCAAACTCCTTACAATATACTTTGCAGTGATAGCTCCTGCTAGAGCCAGGGGAGGGCTGTGTAATTCAGTAAGGCTTTGGAGATTTAGATATTGCCAGAGGCAAATTTCTTCAAGGATACAGAGTTGTTTGCATTGACAGCTTGGGCAGTCCTCATGAATTTTTGCTGAGCTTATTTACAGTTGCACATACTGTGCTTTAACTACTGTGTTACACTGCTAGTTATAATTTATATTTCTGCTCATTATTAGTTAAGTCATTTTTGGCCTTATAACATAAAATTAAAGCGAGTAGGAACTGAAGCATCCCCACCTTCCCATCTGCTCCAAGCTCCACACCTTCAAGACCAATTATCTCTTTCAGACACACTCCAGTAGAATGACACTGGCGTCCACCATCCAGCTTCATATCCCTGGGAGACAGAAACAAGAGCAGAAATACCTCTTAATACACACACCTTGTTCACCTTCCACCACCCAGTGCTGAAATAAGGTGCAGCATTAATCCAAACATGCCAAAGCAAAGCACAGACCAGACAACATTTCCTATGGAAAATACTTGTGTTGTCTAAAACACATTATAAGAGAAAACCCTCACTTTGTTCCAGGTTGCAGCTCATACCCCACTTATGGTGCAAAGCAAGGTTCCCCATCATTAGGCACCCCTGACAGAACCTGTCACTGGGAAGGAACTGGAAGTCATAAACACTTCAAGTGAGATACAAAAATTCAAAGCCCTCCTGGTGGAGGCTGCCAGGAGAAACTCACTTTTCCATCCCCCTGGGATGGAAACTTGGGGATCTACTTTAAAAGGATTAACCCACCTGGCATCTTACACTTGGACATAAATGAGATGCCTGAGACAAGCAGGCTGTAGCCCATGCTTTAGCCTCATGATTAAAATGTGAGCTAAGGCAGAAAAGACTGAGCAAATTTGTGCTCCACAAATGACAGCTGCACATAACTCCAGACTATTTATCTCGCAATATTTTCCTGGCTGATTTCCGCTGAGGTCCAAGTATGTGCCTAAAAGTCTGTGCAGGAGAGATGCTAACACTGAGGCAGGGAGAAGGCCTGTAGGCTCTTCATCCAGTTGCAGGGCTGGGCTATCTCCTGCTGTGTCTCTGTGCACCCTCATTCCTTGTCTTTCTTTTCCAACTTATCACACATTTTATTTCTCTGAAACATGGCAATCCTGAGTCCCCAGTAAATCATGTACCTTACTGCTGGAAAAATCCAACACGTCTATCTTCTGGAAAACATGCTTCAGGGACAAAGGAAAAGACTGTATCAAGTTTCTAATCCCAACACAGTCCTCTTAGTTTCTTCATTAGAGTTCACTTAGCACAGTGTCATATTATCATTCTTGTTTCCTGGTATCATGTTACTGAGGGGTTGGACAAATAATTATGTAAAAATAACCCTCTGTGAGAGCCATGGTATTAGCCTCTCCATTCTTGCGCAGAAAGTGTTTAAGAGAAATAATTCTCATAAAGATAAATGCCAAATAGTAACCATTTCAGCAGGTCTTACCTATGAAACCAATGCACAACCTGAATCAGCCCTTGAACCCAAAAATGAAAACAACTATCTGAATAACTTGAAATCAGAACAGTTCCGTTTCCTTCCATTCAAGACCTTACAGACACAGAGCAAGAAATAATGCTGTTACAACTTTGAAAACAAGTCACAGAGAAATTTTTCCACGCAACTATAGATAATTCTGTAATTCATCAAATGGAAATCCATCACCCTTTGAAGAGTCAGCACAACAGCTTTCAAAATTAAAGAGCAGCTCTGGGGACTGAAAAGAAATCAGTAGCTCTGGAAGCAAGGAGCAGGGTCAGCTGGCATGTATGAGCATATACAGGGATCATTCCTTGACATCAGCTGAAGATCAATGGACACTAATGCCTCCATTTCTGTATATTTCTGATGTTTCTAAAGAAGACTCTCCTTTCAGGACCCTCTGAACAACATTGCAGTCATTCTCCCTCATCTCAGGTGTTTTGCAAAGGCTACTTGGGGTCTTCCCCTCCTCCACATATTCTCTATATTTCTAGGTGGTATATGATTGCTTGTGTTGTAAAATGGAGTAATAAAATATTACTCTTTGGAGAGAAATGTGTCCATAAAACAGAGAACTAAACTTCCTCTCTTGAGGAAAATCAGCACCAAACAATGTGCAGTTTCTTAGGAGCACGTAAATGGAAAGGCTCATCTTGGCTTCTACACATCCTCCTCTCACTCATAAAAGACCTCGGTGAACACCTAATATGGAATTCCTATGCTATTTTACTGTATCCTTTTTGAGTTCCCTATCATGTGACCAACAGCAAGTTAGCCAAGTTTTTGCAGGACAGGCCTTGATTTTTTCCCTCCCTCCTATTAAAGACAAAGGAGTTCATGGATGCCTCAACAAAGCTCTTCCTGGGAGAGCAAGCCCAAGAGTTGCCACCCTGCTGTTGGGTAGAGCTCCAGCACAACTGCTTCCTCCCCACATCCCCAAAATCCCAAGAGCAACAGCGAGGAAAGACCCGGGGGATGCCTTCGCCTAGCTCTCTCCAGATGGCAAGTCATGCCTAGAGATGAGTTGGGATGGTTGTTTGGGTACATCCACCACACCAGTGTGGCCAAACACCACCACCAAGTTCTTCAGGACACGTGCACTCGTGTGGCACCACAGCCGAGGGGCCCCGAAAGGGAGGAGCATAGGGAAGATAGGCACTTCGTATAAAAACCAGCCAAGCTTTCACTGTGTTTAAGTTATTTAGGTTACTAATGGGACTGAGGAATTGCACAAACCAACATACAGCACTTACACATATATATCAGTATAAGGTGCTTAAAAAATGCAGAGTAGGAAAGATGGTCCTTGCCAAAGAGGTTTTAAAGGGAAGGAAACTTCCTTTCTCCGCTCCTGTTTTATTTCCAAAAGTACTTTTTAACAAACTTTTCAAGGGATTAGAGCAGACACAGAAAAGCAAAAATAAATCATGGGAACTTTTACTACCGTCACTTTATTTGAGCAGGGAAGACTAGAGGAAACGAGAAGATAAGGGATAACATTCCTTTAGGAGGCAAAAAACTAGATCCCAGTTGCTGTCAAAGTTTAGGGAGTTACTCTGATTTACATCAATATCAAGCTCTAGGTATTCTATTCATGCATACCATTTCCAGAAAGCTGAGCAGTGTTATAAATTACACTCGAAAGTAAGCATATTATTTTAGTTATTCAGGACTACAGAATGTTGAGGAATACATCTGAAGGAATCTCAGGTAGCTGAGACTGAGATGCAGACTGAAATGCAGACTGACTCCGAGTGGGAGCCTGAGACAAGGGGCTGTGAACAGCCAACCTTTGGGATAACAAAGGGCAGGAAGATGGGTAATGCCAGCCAAGTGAATGGACAATGGGAGACGCAGCAGGAGCCAGGAATTGCCAACCTTTTAGATAACAAAGGAGATGAAGACCAGTGAGCCAACAAGGTGGATGGACAGAGAGAAGGGGCAAGGAGCAAATAAGAGGTGGAGTGAGACCTTTGCTCTGGGAGCCTCTGAGGTCCCTTTGTTGGGGGTGCTCTTCAGAGGCACCAGCTCGAGCTGTTTCTGTGTTACTGAGCTACTGAGCCGTGAGTAAATGGATTTATGGAATGAGATATCTCAGACTCTGCTAAGGGAAACCTGGGGTTGAACTGGTAAGGAATTGTGGTCTGACTGAGTGTGCATGTGCTGAGTTTAGGGAGTGAAGCAGGACACCTGTCGGCTCACTGGAGCTGCCCTTTGGGAAGGGGCTTCAGTCTCAGCAATTAAAGTCTCTGGACTTGGTAGCATGATGGAGAGTCTCTTAAGTGGTCAGACTGGGTACTTTCCTTAAAAAGGAAAAAAATTTAAAGTTTCTCACTCTAACAGTGTTCACAGATTTTCTTGGAAGAACACCAGGTGACTTGGGATCCCAGATTTGCTGTTGGATGGTGAAAAGTTTTACTGAGCAGATAGATAAGGAACAAAACAAGAAATCTCATCACGTTTTTTATTAGCCAGGCCAGGATTAACAGAATATAAATTGGATGCTGTTACCTTTGGAAGTATTACATTTCTTTAATGAACCAAATGTTATGCTTTGACGTGATCTACAAAGTCCCATGCAAGACTCCTGCTGGGCACTTGCTCTTTAAATGACAGTAACAGTTGAGCACTCTAACCCATGAATAATTTAAAAGTCCATGAAATATTAAACAGATTTCTAGGTACATGAAAAAGCCTTCTGCTTACTGAAAAAAAGGAATCTGATAATTGTTATTTAGATATGTCAGCCTTCTGTAACTATATTTTATGTTTAGTGATTCCTGACTCTTAATATTTATTTCTAAAAGCAAAAGCAGTTCAGGAGACACCAAGAAAAGATGCCATTCTCATCTGTCACTGTAAATAATTTCTACTTATCATCTCTATTTACAGGGACAAGGGAAATGACAGCTCTGGAGAACATGCACTGCCAGCCAATACAGCAGCAGATTTCCCACTGCCTGAAACTGCCTGCTATAACTGATCAAGAGCTTCCAGAGCCTAATTCCATTAGTGTTGCCAGAACAACTCCAGCTGCAATTTAGAGGGAGAGGAGGCAGAAAAACTCCTGGAAAGATGGCCCAAATGGGCCAGTTTCCCTTTCCTCTCTCCAAAGATATTTAGGTGTCAGCACACCTCTTTTCCTGATGTTTTGCCCAACACAGAGTAAAAGTATTAGGAAGATTCATTGATTAACTTCAATTAAAGGGAACAGGGCAACTCAAAAGAATGAGCAATGGTGGCTCTATAAAATTCATACATGAGACGATTAGTTTTGAAATGTCCCACTGAGGGAAAAAAAGCCCTCAGATTTCTGTGTCTTTCTGTAAAGCTAATACATGCTTGGTTTTCTTTTTTTTGTTCAATTTGTGAGAAGGCTAAAAGAATGATAGGCCTACAGAACGATAAATGCTCAGGAAAAGAAGTCAAGATTGATGACTCAATCAAAACTGCCTCGCATACAAAATCTGCTGGGGAAGAACAGAAAGGAACTCGGTAACAAATCTGGAGGACATAACAGAGTATCCTGCTTTGCTGTCTGCTTATTGCTACTATCCATATGGCAATTTAGATGCTCTCATTTGTCCTGTAATATTGCCTTTGGAATGTTTTCCACACTCCCTGACCAGCCAAACAACTGATGGCAGGGATGTGTCAGGGTGCAAGGCAACCTCACCTAAATGCTTCTGGTTTTTTGCCTCATTTTGCATATGACTTTCTTACCCAGCTTAAACACTAAAGATGAACAAAGGTTGCATGGTTTAGGTCAAAAAGGCTGTTGGGAATACCAGGTCTATGAACTAATTGATCATTGTGGTTAGATGTTATCTGGAGTGATAGTATT